GGTATAAAGGGACTCTAGATCAAAGTAAAGGCTTCAACGAGGTTTATCGATGCCATTCCTGGCCCTCTCATTGGCCAGCTCACTCCAGCTGTATAAGTCGGGGCAATAGATGAGTCTCTTGGAAGCCTCTACTATGATCGTCTGATACGGGCTTAACTGGAATTTGGAACATAGGTTTTGTTGAAAATGTCACCAGGTGGAAATCGCAAAATATGAGATATGTCGCTAAATGTACGGGATTGGCAGCTCGGTCTTTTGCCGATGGATTTTCCTGAAATTCTGTTCATTGGGGTATTTTGACACAAGAACAATGAATTTGAATTTAGATTTTTTTTTTTTTTAAAAAAAAAAAGAACCTCGCAGGAGAGTACCTATGCAGGGAGAGTATGGACAACTCGACAATTTGGAGGTTAGGTTTGATCAGGCCATGTAGCTCTTGGGGCCAAGAAAGGCAGTCAACCTATGAACTCGAATTATCCAGTGGGACATATTTAAACTTCGAGAGTAGGTACACTGATCAAAAATTATAAAAGCACGTCTGAAACTTTAATTTTGTATAAATTTTCTCAGTTTCGAAGTCACAATCCTTAAAAACGCTTGTTTACAATGCGCTGTCTGTCCTATCGATTAATATTTTAAATGCATAGGTTGGGATCGGCACTTCTCTAGTGATTTTCGTTCTCCACGTTGTCGCTCTAGTTGTTCATACTCTCTCAAGGTACTTTAACCCGAAGTTTTCAAAATGACTGCCGGTGGAAGTGCAAAACTGCCGAAAATTGGCAATATCGATTTTTTGCCTATAGATTTGTTTGAAACTTGATGTCACATGGTAATTTGGTACAAAATAAAGGATTTGACATTAGATTTTTAAGTAAACTGAGGTCTCCAATTTTCGGCCATGTTAAATCTTAACCGGCCGCCATTTTGAAGAAACTCGGGCTCTTGAAAGCTCTAGCGTCAGATTTGTTTTTCTTGTGCCAAAGTATTGCCAGTAAGAGAGTTGCAAGCAAATCCTTCGGCATTAAACCGAGTTGCCGTTTCGACCATTTTGAAGTTTAACCGGCCGTCATTTTTAACGGTTTGAGATAATGACTTCGAGTTAGCGCGAAAAATTTTCTTTTTCCATACTCTCTCGAACGAGGTTTTGAAGGAAGAGCTAGGAGCCCAGGAGTGACCTAGCAGCATCCCTAAAGTTCCTAAATCTTTAGTTAAACTAAGTAAAAATTAGAGGGGCAGGGGATTTCACAGACATCCTAGAGTACCCTTATAGACAGAATATGGCCATTTCTGTACCGGTTTTTCATGGGTCGCGCGAGAATAGGCTAACACGATGTTTTTACGGCCATAAATAAGCAAAACAAGATGACTGTTACCAGCAAGCAAGTTTGAGGTTACTGACGAGTAGATCTGCAGATAGAGTCCCTTTATACACAGAGTTACGACATCTCGATTATCAGCTGGCTAGCTGGCTAGCAGCCGGCCTTGGCTGACCATGGAGCACCATCGAGGCACAAACGAGTGCACTCAAACGAACGATATTGAGGGATAAGGATAAGAAATACTGCGTTGTCTGTCATCCAAAAACAAAAACACCAACAAAACTGATCAAAACCTAACACAAGAAATTGCAATAAAATAAAATTAGATTGATTAGTGGATAATTTCATAATCTATTTTCATTTTGGTGCGATGAAAATAACAATTCACTCTTGATAAACCACAAGTTTCATTACTTTCATTACTTTTACAAGTTTCATTTTCATTACTTTTGTTCACATTCGAGGTACCGCCATCACTCCATGAGCGAGAACCAATCAGAATTGAATTTTTTTTTAGGCCACTTTCAGCTCAGCCCAACCTAGCCCTAACCTAGCCCAACCACAAGTGAGATGTCGTAACTATGTGTATAAAGGGACTCAATTTGCAGGTACAGGTTCTACTCGGCCTTAATCCCTGAAAATTTGAAAAGCCTGAAGCATGGATGTCTCTATCGCCCTTTAGGTGGATGTAGACTTCTGAGAAGAGGCATAAGCCATTAAACCTGCAAATAAAAAAAAAAAAAAAAAAAAAAAAAAAAAAAAAAAAAAAAAAAAGCTTGAGGGTATGCTCATCTTGCATCCTCCCGTGACAAAGGTCGGGCAAAGGCGAAAGGCGACTCAATTGTATTTTCATGTGTTATTCGTAGATGTCGTAGATATGCTAATTTTAATTGTTACCTACTGCTGTATATTTGAATTTTTTTTCCTCTTTTTTCAAATTTTAGCTTCGTATTAATGTTACGGTGCGTCGCCATCTTATTTGTTTATTTACGGCCGTGAGAGCACAAAAAGCTGCACAATTTTCCGGTAGTAAAAACTAGAGTACCTTCATAGACAGAGTATGGCCATTCGTATCTTTTTACTACAGGAAAACTGTTCCGCTTTTTGATTGGTCAACGACTTTTTAGGTTTCGTGCCCAAGTAGCATGGATTGCAATTTCATTGCAATGGATTGTGAGTTGATTGCAATTTTTGCTTGTTGCCTATACATTCATTTGAAGGCGCTTAAAAAGTTGCAATTTTATTGCAATAAGTTTGCAAGAAATGTAGATTATGCTTGTTGCCTAACCTTCTTTTTCAAGGTACTATAAAGACTGCAATTTCGGTGCAATCATGTTGTAACAAATTCACGCCATGTGCCTGGCATCCAATTCTCTAGTTGTTTTAAAGTTTTTTCGACTTAAATGTCTCACCTAACCCTTATAGCCCAACATATTTTGAAAATATTGTCACCTTTATCAAAATATTTTCATGGCAATATTGTAATTAAAATATTTTCAAAATATTTTTAAAACATTTTAAAGGAATATTTTGAAAATGATTACAAAAAATATTTTGAAAATGATTACAAAAAATATTTTTAAAATAATTCAAAAATATTGCCTGTAAACATGCATGTTAAAAATATTCCTTAAGAAAGTTTTGAAAATATTTTAAAAATATTTTTTGAAAATATTTTTAAGTTCTCAAGTTAGTATGTGGTGTAATTTACACCGGTGTAAATTTAGTGTGAGTACCTATTACGTGATATCGAAAAAAAAATCAGACAAAAAAAATATGAAAAAAATAAATAACACGAAAAAAAATAAATAATAGGCAAAAGAAAGAAGCCTGAGAAAAACGGCGTTATTCAAATCTATGATGAATGTTGAGCCACGCACTGACGCAATGCATGCGATAACAGCCTTAAGAGGCGTGATTTCAACCCAACTCATCATCAGCTCCCTGTAGCTCAGTGGAAAAGTGCTCCGCTTAGAAATTCGCAGGTCGGGTTCAAGCCCACTCTAGGGCGTCCGGTATTTTATGCTGCTAAACGTCGTAGGACATTAGGTAAGCATGGGTTCGAATTATTATAATTTCCCCGGAAAATTTAGGGGTTGAAATTTAAAGGTCGTCAATATTGAAATTTCTTTGCAAAAAAAAAATTGCAACTTTTTTACAATGAGGGGGTCAGATGTTGTAAAATAATTGCAATTTTCTTGCAAGAAAGTTGAAATCATCTGGAAATTTTATTGCATTTAAATTGCAATTTTTTCGTTGCAAAATGCTACTTGGGTGATGCTCTTACGGCCGTAAATAAACAAACAAGATGGCGGCTCACCGTAACATCGATGAGAAGCTAAATTTGACAAAAATTTCAATTATACGGCAGTAATAATTTAAACAAGCGTATCAACGAATACTACGAATAACACACGAAAAACACACGAAAACATTGTAAAAAAAGAAATTTAAACGGTCAAATTTAATCACCTTAAATTTCGTTTTTTTAACTCTTCCCGAAATTTGGGGACTTGCCATCGTAATGTTGAACTGATTTTGACTTTACTGCGATAATGTGGAGGCAAATCTAGAGGAAATTGGCTTATTTCGTGGGAAAATTGAATGACCTTTGAATTGACGTATTTGGGAGTCCAAGCCCCCCCTTAAAATTACAGCGAAGTGATTTCTGCAATTTTTGCTTAAAAGCGGACACAATTTGGTAAATTTTCTCGTTTTATTTTTTTTCTTTACCATAATTTGAACCGGAGTTATGATTTTTTGAAAATAGGTCAAATTTGACCTTTGACCTATCATAACTCGGTCAAAAATTAAGATATTGATCTGCGGTTTGCGCCAAAATTCTTAGTTTTTTATGCTCTATCGAATGATGTATCACAAGATAGGGGTTGCCATTTGAAAAAAAAAAAGTTGGGGGCCCCCCGCGCCCCCCCTGAGGGGGGACCAAAATTTTGACCCCCCCAAAAGACGGTCCCCTTTGAGATAGGAACATTCCCAAAGTTTAATTACCCTAGCTCACTTCTAGAGTCCCTTTATACCCAGAGTTAAGACAACTCGATTATCAGCTGACTGACAGCCGGCCTTGGCTGGCCATGGAGGCCGAAACGAGTGCACCCAAACGAACGATATTGAGGGATAAGGATCAGGAATCCTGCGATGTCTGTCACACAAAAACAACAACATCAACAAATCGATCAATTAAAAAGAAAATGAGATTGGTTTGTGAATAATTTCTTAATCTATTTTCATTTTGGACCGATGGAAATAACAATTTACTCTTGATAAACCACAATTAGGTAATATTTTCATTATTCTTGTTCACATTCGAGGTACCGCCATCTTGGTGCACTCGTTTCGGCCTCCATGAGCGAGAACCAAACAGAATTGGATTTTTTTTTAGGCCACTTTCAGCCGAACCAAAAGTGAGTTGTCTTAACTCTGGGTATAAAGGGACTCTACTCACTTCGTTCAAAAGTTAGCAGGGGTGGGATGGACTTTTGGTACACCCTGTATAAAGGTACTCTAGTAAAAACATACGAATAGCCATACGCTGTTTATGAAGGCACTCTAGGACACCCTGTGGTTACTCTATACCACTCTATCGAATCACCTCACCAGCCTATTTTTTGTGACCAATGAAATGGCGGCCCACAAAGAATGGAAGTTTATCTTGAGAACCGGGAAAACGTGATCGGACATGTGACCCAGTTATCTAGGTTAGGTTTGGATTCGATAGTGAATACTGGTACGTCTGCGTCCAGAAACAATCTGCGTCTAAGTCAGGTCTAAGTGCCGAAGTGCTCCTCAATATCGTAATCCCACCGATTCATCACGCATCGTTTTCATATATTTATTTTGAATATTCATGTTAAAGAACCTCAGCAGTGTCAGTACCTCTCTGAAGTCTCCGACTTCGTGTACCAATTCATTGTTTGGCTGCAAAATTCACTGGTAAATTCCTTGGGGTTTCTTTCTAAATCAGGATTTTTCTTTCCGTTCAAATTATTTTCCTACAGGAAAGTCCATACATGAAGCTCAGACTTACCTCTGAAATTGATTCATTTCCTGTAAAATTGGGGTTTTTAAAATATTTTGTCCTGTAATGTTAGGCTTTCTAGTCCAGGCCTAAGAAGACTTAGTAATCACAAACTGACCAGTCCTTTTCGCTGAGCAGTGACAAAATCGTGACTGGGAATACTGGCCCATCAGAGCTCGGATCGGTCAATTTTAGTTGTTTGCTCTGTGATCAGGGCTACCGAACTCAAAATCACCCTATATATCAATTGGGATTTTTCCAGTTTTCCTGCCTGTCGCAGTTTGCGGCTGCTGCTAAGTGTTTCAAATAAGTACGCAAGTTTAGCATCATGCATAATGCTGTAAAGGACGCAAACATAGGGTCGATCCTTCCTGGAGTTTTTACATGAAGCTAATCTACCTTCTGTAGTGAGTGCAATTTGCAGCCATCTGGCTCATAAGTGCCGTAACGCCTGCCTGTAAAGTTACCGATTTGGTAGTTCTCAAATCAATTGAGTTCACTGACATGCCTTATACACCTGGAAAGCTACGGTTCTTTACAGAAATTTGAGATAGTATTTATCATCAATCATTGAGACTTAAGAAAAAACAGATTTAGTGTTAGAATTGTTCTACAGAGCCTGACCTAAGTTGCTACAAAGCCAGATTTGTGCACAAGATACAAATTCTTGCATGAATTTCCAGGGATGCTGAAACTTCTTCATAGCAAAAATTAGTCGCAATCTTAGCTTCAATATTTTGTCACTCCTCAGAAATGTCTGAAGCATGAGTACAAGCGTAAAATTTCAAGAATCAGCATAGTTTTTCATGTTTTTCTCATTGCTCATTTCAAAGAAGGTTTTTGAATCAAAATTTTCTCAAGCCTTGCGCCCCTAACCTTTTTCAACCTCAGCCATCGGTAGGTGTGTTGGAGCGAGAGTATTGAAATAGCACAGAAAAATAAGAACATTTTGTGACATGGTTTGACTAACGACGACATGTATGAGATAAATTACTAAAGTACGACATAGGTTATAGATCTGATCTTGACCAACTGCTAAGGCCCAACAAACCACGAAGTACCTACCAACCTTGATATAAATACTTTAAACAAGGACAAATTATTGCTAGGTTCCAACAAGGTGCATGACATTAGGTAATGCAATTACAAGCAGCTACATAGCTCTGCAAATTGCAAGACTCCAGAAAGGTAATACGATAGGATTTTTATCAACCTGTTTTGTGAGAGAGTAATTATCCATTATTAATTACAGAAAGGTTAGTAGAATTGCTCCAACCAATCACCAAACAAATAGGAACTAACTAATTTTCTCAAAGTGCCATAATTTAATCACCTGTAACTATTGATGAGCTAAAACTGGATTTTTGTCCCTATACCCGTAACATTTTGTTTATCCATTTCTTCTGGTAGAAAAAAGTGCAAGAACGTCGCTTAATCATTCTTTCGTAGTAAGTAAGTAACTCTATAAAAGTAGTGAAATAAAGTTCTTGCATTTGTTTTTATTTAACAGGCTATACATAGTTAGATGAGGGCAGTTATTTTGCTTGCTTTGCTCCTCAATGCACTGTTCAAAAGTGCCCCTCTTCCTTTACAGAAATAAACACTTCTTTCCGACTGAATCTTTGCTACCAGTCTGTGAATCGTTGCTTTTTCTGTAGAATCTCTTCTGATTTCCATATCCTTTTTTCAGTTCAAAAATGGCGACCAGAAAACTTCTCTGCTGTGCGAATCTGCCGTTCCTGTTCCCGGAGGAAGGAGATCTACTTCCTCGCTTTAATGCAGCAAGCAAGTGTGGATTTAAAGCAGTAGAGTTCCCATTTCCAGAAGAACTGAATGCAGCCGATGTAGCTCATAGTATGAAGGAAAACAACCTGACTGTGGTGATGATGAACTCAAGTAAATCGGGAAGTATAAATGGATTTGCAGCAATCCCAGGCATGGAAGCCCAGTTTCTAACCTCTCTCAGCAAGTCTGTCGAGTTTTGTAAAGCTCTAAACTGCTCTAAATTACATGTAGTTGCTGGCGTTGTAGAAAAACCATCTGTGGACCATGACCAAACGTATGAGAAGAACATTAGGATGGCAGTGGATATTTGTGAAAAAAAAGGTACGTTACTCAGGTAAAGTCACAGCAACCCTTTAAAGTAGCCAGGATATCCTGTGATATTCTGATATTCACATGAACTCTACTCGCATAGCAAGTGGCTGCTGCAAATGTCGCAAAATTGTTGCCTCAACAATTGTTACTCAGGTAACATTTCGACAATCTGTCTGAAACCACATGCTGTTTGAATATCATGGCTCACAAATTCAACTGTCCCCTGAACATGAGAATTTTGTCAATACTGTATAGATATGATACAAAAGCAATATGGAACTTACAATTAGTTATTAGGTGTTCTGAGGGGATGCCCAGTGAAAGGATGGTCAAAGGGGCTTTTAAATGAAATTAGAGAGTGTGAACTCCCTGAATGGCTCCGGGAGGACAGGTATTGTGATGGTTAGGTGTCGCGGAGCATTAGAGAGCTCTCTCAAAGCAGCTCCTATTTGTATGTATATTGGTCAAACAATATACAGCTGTAAAGTACTCTTGGCCTACTAAAAAAACGTCAGGTGGTGAATGATAAGCTTCTCAGTGAAAAATTTGTACAAGCATTTTAGGACCTAGAGAGATGAAAATCAGGAGAATTTAAATAGCCAGATATTCAAAGTAAACTGGGCAATTAGTTCAATCCAAAAGGGATTGTCTCTTTCCATGTTAGTTTTTTACATAGATCTGAATCAGATTTATAAGTATACATCTGGTGGCTGAAGACTGAAGTATTTGATGGGCTTACATTTTGCTTCACATCATTCTTAATTTGCTGAGACGTGTTATAATTTGTTTCAGGGATTACAGTTTTAATTGAGCCTATCAGCCCAACGGCATTGCCTAACTACTACCTAAATAATTTTGATAGAGCTGTTGCATTAATCAAGAAAATAAATAACCCATTTTTAAAGCTGCAAGTAGACTTCTTTCATCTGCAATTAATGAAGGGCAACTTAGCAAATAACATTAAAGACTGGTTTCCATTGATTGGTCACATTCAAGTAGCCCAAGTTCCGGATCGAAATGAGCCTGACACTCCTGGTGAAATCAATTTTCATTATATCTTTGATTTGTTGTCGGAATTAAAGTACAAGGAATGGATTGGGTTTGAATACAAGCCTGCTACTGTTGGTAATGTTGCTGCTGGACTGGGTTTTTTGGATAAGATGGATCTTACAATTTAGAAAGAAACTTTTGACTTCTCACTTAACCAAGAGCTGGAAGCCCTTGATTATCAGAGACCTTACAACATCACTATTTTGTAGCATGAAAAGTCTGTTGTAATACAATAAATCCTGTAGGAACAGGCCTCCAGAAGCGAAGATGCATTTAAATTCAGTCCTATATCAAATCATCCCATTGCAAGATTGAAATGCCTTTTTTTTTAAAAAAAATTTGGAAATGAATTGCGTCCCTGCGTAGAACTGTCCAAAATAATTGTAACCAAAGTTGATCGTGAGGATTTACATTCATAAAACAATGTAATCAATCACCTAAATCAGTGTCTTTACCTACCAAGAAGGGAGCGGGAGGGTAAAGAGGGAGGGCATCAATTTAATTTATCCCCCCATCTCCTTCCAATAGAAAAATATGCAAATGAAAAAGTCCTTTGCAGTGTCATAGCATCAAAATTTACATCTGTATAGATGCTGTCGGAAGTTGGAAAAATCGTGGTCAAGCCTGCTCAAAAAAGGTACTCTTTGACTTTTCACAAGTTTTAACACTTATCTTGTGTAATTTTGACTCCTCAAGATCACATTTCTGATGTGAAACGGAGAGAGCAGTTAGTGCATTTCTGTATGAGCCATGGTTAGCACATGTTTTTATGTGTCTTGAGGTTCTTCCCAGCATGCAATCACTGCTCTCTTCACTATCACGGCAGATATGTATAAATCTGAAAACTTAACGAAATTCTGCTTATACTGAAGCTAATTCCAGGTCCTACGCCTGTCAAGACCGCTACTACGATTTTTCAAATGTTTGCTGCCTCTTAGGGTGAATCTAAGTGATCAAAGGGTGAGATGCCAGATCCACCACTACTTTGCACTGCCGCGCAGTTTGTGTCTTTGAAGGGATAATTATCATAATGTTCACATTGATGCACACACTGATCCATAATGTACAGCATACTGTGTTAGTATTAATGATACTGTACAGTGCAAGTTGAAATATGGCAATGCCGTGAGAGCAAAAATTAATACGTATACTATAAGCTGAGCTCTTTTTAGATTTTTCATAACCTCTGGTGCACCCTTATTAAATGAATGTGCACTGCAAGTGAATTGTTCTCATTCCAAATATTCCTTTATCCCAACGGGTTATGGGCCCAGTGTATTCTTTTAATACTTACTTACTAGTGTAAAGCATTTCGCCCGTACTCTTAAAATGGACCTAAAATCCGTAAAATATTATACAGGCCTTTGACGGGAAAAAACGCAGCGTCTGTAAGGTTAGAATTCAGAAATTCTGTTAATCAAGAAAATGTGATGGATGTGAATGTTTAGATGATTCAAAGGTAAATCATCGCCACATGAATTCCTGCAATAAGCGATTGAGAAAACAGTCGATGCTTGGCGATACAGAAATTGAAAAGTTCAACTTGTGCTGGGATTGAAGAGCATTCCAGTAATATTAGCAACAGAAAATTAGATGTGCGACGTTTTTTTGAGTTTGCTGATCTCAGACAGTGAATGCAAAAATATAAGATGGAGAATGACGACAACAACTGAGAAGACATAAATGACTGGATAAACATGCATCATGGAGTCTGGTCTCAAAACTATTCTGGAAGACGTTTGGTTCTGCCCTGAAATACCACAAAATTGGTTAAAAATACAAAAATTTGGAAAGCTGATAATGAAAGATATTCTCGTCAAAATAGAAGACAACATTTTTAAGGGAAGTATCGTTGTCTTTTGTGGTAAGGCTTTTTAGAATTATAATATTGATGAGAAATTACTGGTCATTATTCCGACAAGGAAAAGATTTGAGAGTGAAAGCCATACACCGACTGAGATAATAAAATTTACTATCGAGTTGAAAGATCGTCGAATATGTGCGCATACTGGCCTCATTTAAAACGTATCGCACGAAATGATAATTTATGTGAGTTGCAAAAATAGTAAAATTTGCCTATCCTTGACGATTTAAAGATGGAAATTATGACAAATTAGACCTTTTAAAATGCACTTTAGTTTGCAAATTTCGCTGAATTTTTGGGAATTAGAGGTCAGAGATGAGACAGGATTTTAACTTTGAAGTTTAATATGGCTGACTGTAGTGCCCACTTCCAAGTAAATTAGATTTTGCATTTAATTCAGTTGAAGGGAACCCTCTCAGAACCTCATTGGGTGTTTGATGTACATAATGATATGCACAAGATCTGATTTGTGCGCTGCAATAAGTATTTAATGCAGATATACAAGCAAGAACAATAAGATCTTGTGGCAATACTTAAATAAGGGTGTTAAGGTACCTATAAAGCTCAAGGAATTTGAAATTGACCTAATTGTCCAATTGACCTAATTGAATTGTTGTTGTTGTTCTGATTGGGCAACAGATGAAAACAATAGAAAGAGCACAACGTGTGACATCCAAATCTTGTCGCAAAAATTACATTGGGAGAATCTCAGCATTTTTTTTTTTTTTGGTTTGAATTGGGCATGTTTTCTTCTATACTGTGTTTATGACAGAAATCAAATTTGAGACGAAACTAAACAGTTCGTGTCCAGAAAGGTATCACGCTTTGTTTGAGTCACCAAAAATCCACAAACCGAGCAGTAAAATGGCATCACTAAGCGAATGGTGAAACCCGTAATAGATAAAGCTTGGGTAATGTTCATTGCAGTAAAATTATATGAGGCATTTCACAAATGTATATAAAGTGTGGGATGCGGAGAAGAAAATGTTTGTCTCAGAGTATAGTAATTATCGATGAGACAAAGAACCTAGACCTGTGTTAAAGTGCTCTGTGGATGCAGAGAATGAGATGAAAAACTGATGCATCTAACTGTGAGTCAAAATCAGATCTCATGCAAGAAAAACTGATGCATCTGACCGTGAGTCAAAATCAGATCTCATGCAAGAAAAACTGATGCATCTGACTGTGAGTCAAAATCAGATCTCATGCAAGAAAAACTGATGCATCTGACTGTGAGTCAAAATCAGAACTTCATGAGGAACCACGAGCGTCAACTGAGATAAGTAAAAGCTCAGAGAATGGATGTCTAGCTCTCTAAAGAAGAAAACAGGGTGTTGTCAAGACCCATGTGGAGATGGATGAATAGAGGATGGAATCTCTATGGGTGCGTTTAGCTCACCGATTATAATCCAAGGTGATTTTTGATCAAACATGAAGCGTGGAAAGAGAAAATGAATTTTGTGTGAGTCATGTAATCGGCAAGATACATTACATAATATCGAGATTCGTAGTAAAATTTCGAGTGACCGAAAGTTAGTCAATAGGAAACTAATGAATCTGAAAATTATAGTGAATAGGAAACCAATAAATCTGGTAATAAAATCAGAATTGTTCTTAAACTTGATACTTTAGTTAACTCTGGAAAAGGAACCGAGTTAAGGAAATTATAAGTCTTGTGAGCGACTCAAAAGCAAATAATTGGTGTATAGTCCAAAACTTACTCAAACTCTAGACGTGATGCGTGCTTGAAACAGAAGAGAATGTGAAAGTAAAATGGAGGGAAACTCTATGATAATCTTAACTTCTGAGCACTTAAATTAAAAACTATCATAAGCACAGTAATGCCATCGACGTGATGAAGTTAAAATGGAAATACTGAAATAATTTTGAAGTGAGAGACGGATCACTAAGATTGCAATAGTATTGCAAAGAATTAAAAAAGCCACGAAAGATCAAAACACATTGATGATAAATATCATATTATAGGGAGCAGATTGTTAAAAGAGTAATTGAAGCAAAATATTTTCCTACAGGTAATCAACTGGATGATTTGTTAACAAAACCTGTGTCTGTTTGCAAATTCAAGAAACTGATTGTGAGACCGGGACTCAGACTTCAGCGAGATCAAAATTTGAAGTTCAAGTCAAAATTCGTCGAGAAAATTCTATCTGTGATGTTTGTTTTAGAATAAGGTCTGGTGAGGTTTTTCTGGGTTTCCCTCATCCGTTGCAACAAATGTTGGACCTGTATGTTGTTCCCAGTTAGCATCTATTCATAATGGAATTAATTTTTGAGGAGGAGAGTTGAAATATGGCAATGCCGTGAGAGCAAAAATTAATACGTATACTATCAGCTGAGCTCTTTTTAGATTTTTCATAACCTCTGGTGCACCCTTATTAAATGAATGTGCACTGCAAGTGAATTGTTCTCATTCCAAATATCCCTTTATCCCAACGCTGTACTCATCAGTATTACTTCAAAGTTAAGAGGATAAATTCAATATGTAAATTAGAAACTTTCATAACGGATGTCTCTCATTGACTGAATATGTCAGAGAGATAGGTAGATAGCGATATAATATCTCTCTCTTACGTATTAGGTCAATGAGCAACATCTGTAATGGTTGTTTCTGATTTAAAAAAATTTTAGGAATCTTCACTTTGAGTCACATTACTCAGCATTAATGCTACCAAACAATATGTTTAAGTGTCTTGCATAAACTCGTACAATTACGATAATTGTCGCCCCTCAAAGACACAGACCGTGTAGCACTGTAGCAGCGCCTCTTAGGGGCAGATCTCATCCCTAGTTCACTTAGAATCACATTTAGATGACGGGAATAAGTATGCGTATGTCTTACAAAGCTATGATGAACTGGAAGGAGTAGGGATCCATAGGCAATCTTGCTTCTAGATCCCCAGGCAGGAGTATCCATGCTTCGCACGGTTTCGAGATCATTTACCTGTCGTATTTTAAGGAATAAAGTATTGCACATCCCCCCCCCCCTCACAATGATTTTACTAAGAATGAGCATGTCTTGTAATTCTCAATTCTTTCATTTTTGAAAAGTGAAAAAAGCACTTAGTTCACAGGATTTTCCCGGATTTTTTTGAATGGCATTCAACCACACAAAACGTGTTCAAAGTTGCGTGGTTTCAGCTTCCATTTAATCGCGTATCGCCGAGAAAGGGAAGATGGCGTTCGTAGAGATCGGTTGTGTCGTGAGTTGCCGCTCGCTCGCGTAGTCCATCTTGCACGATCCATGCTCCGTGAAGGCGTGCGTTGATACGGGCTACACGGAGCATCACGTGGGCAAGCGGCAACGCACGACATAACCCATCGCTACGGAAGCCATTTTGCCTTTCTCAGCGGGACACGATTTAATGGAAGCTCTAACTACCCTTTTTCGAACTCGCTTTTCATGGCTTAACATCGTTAAATAAATCCAGAAGAGTTCATGTGAGCCAAGAGACTTCTCTACTTTTCAAAAATGAAATAATTACAATTAATTACTGAAAAAGCTTGCAGGTTAATACAAGCATTTCCAGGAATTTTGTCTATAGCGAAACATTTTAACAATTTAGTTCCATCATCAATTTAAATTTCATCGTCTTCTTTCACACTTACTATCTTTCAAACACTGGCTTTTATCGAAATCGAAATATTTAAAATTATATTAAGTCCTATTTGAAACGAAATATTTAAAATTACTAGGGGGCTACGCCCCCTGGCCGCTACGCGGCCCAACCCCCTGAAGGCGCTCCGCGCCATCAATGGGCCGCTTCGCGGCCCTATTTTTACCCTCCTATCAGTGTTAGTTTTATTTTTCCCCTAAAAAATTACGCTATGAGGTATACTTTAATTTTAAACTTTACTTAAAATTACTTTAAAATTAAGAGGACGCATTTTGGAATGACTGATTGATGAAATATTGCAGTAAAACAATGAACAATGATAGTCAGGTATCAATTAAGATATCATGAGTCGGGGATCGATCCCACAGTGAGTCCTTGGTGACAGGCCCGCCACATCCCATCTCGGGCCCTGGTACCAGTTTTAAGGTCCGGGCCCCAAGCACGGAGGGGGGGGGGTGCGAGGGGCATCCCTCGAGAAATTATAGAATTTATACGACTAATCGGACGCATTTTGAAGCTTCCATAAAGAATTTTTCCATCTATTTCTGCGGAATAATTATGTTTTTTTTTATACTTTCAGCACAAAATAGGTACTTGCGAATTGTTGCATTCAAAACATCTGGAAAATTTTTATTTTTTTTTGGGGGGGGGCATATGATACTATTTTCAAATCTATAAGGGCCAGGCCCCCCTGGACTCCCCCTTCGTTTGTCTATGGCAAGGGAGTTGAGCCATGAGCCATTGAAGTCGTGGATGCCCAGACTGGAGACCCTCAGCATCTGACGACGGAAGAAAATGAAACGCAGTTACTAAACATATCCCTCTGTACTGAAAATCTTAGATAGAAATCTAGATAGGAATTTTCCAAGGAGTATACTTCTTTGAAAATTTAAGAAGAACTCTACAGTGCCCCAGCGTGTTTCTGAAAATCTATTCACCTTTTGCGAAATTTTTAGGGTAAAATTTTCACTTTTTCTTACGAAACAAGGGTTGCCTGTGAATTCGTAGTGGTTTTTCACACGGGTAACACGGGCCCCCTCCGGGGCCCGGGCCCCGGTACCAGGGACCCAGTATCCCCCCCC